TAGCAGTTTTTAATTTGTGATTAACCGTCTGAGATTAGCACATACCGTTTCATAATTGAGTTCGACTTTCCATCGGTGAGCAAAGTTTTGACGCTGTTTACGGAGATAAATGAAAACAAAGACATGCATGCCATATATGGTTGTGTAGATATATTATCGTAGAAGACAATGGTAATAAACAGTTTGTTAGTGCATTTCCATTGAAAGTGTACACTAAAACGAGTGCGTTTCTGATGAGGGGGTATCGAGTGTAATTCGGAGTTAGATAACCTGTTTTATAATTATACTCATTTAATGCATGTATTTAATATATATAAATCAAACATGATACAAGGGTTAAAATGTATTTCCGAAACAAGTACATGTGCTCTCAGAATAGACCCGAGAAGATGCGATTGATGACACATAATGAAACGCTTCTAACACTTTCAGTGATGGTCATTCGAATCAAAATAAGCCTTCTTGGTTCATTATTTTTATAACTTCAGCATGTTCTATGAATATTGTTACACTAAACTACCAATTTCAACAAAAGTTATAGCTAGATAATGTACTGAAATTTTCCCTTTCTCATCGTGACGTCATAATCAGATGTGCACAAGAAAGTCGCCAAAATCATACAAATTGCGTACCCAGTTTTAATGACGTCAGCAAACCCGCGACCTACGTTAAATCATATCAAACTCTGAATTGAATCCCGGAAAAGGTACGGTGAAGCACAGTACCTTTTTATTTTGCTGTCCCTTTGGTATACATGATATGGAGTCACTGGCACGACAGAGATGTCTGTAAACTTCCGTCTTTGTGACATTACCTAAATGCTTACATACAGGGCAAGGTATTTCAGAAATTCCCCAAATATCTTAATATCATATTTGATTTACATTATAAAGCAAGTAGTGTCTGTGATTAAAATACTACAGGAAAATTTCAAATGTTTGTCTCAACTATTTGTATTGATTTCTTTTATGAGCATAATATGTGTTGTATTCATGCAGTAAATCATTGTTGTTGTTTTTTATGGGATGACACGTATAGTATACAAACTTTGATCACTAAAAAATTTTGGAAATTTTCATTGATAAAAATCCTCAAACTGTATGTAGCATGTATAGTTAAGAAAAAATAAAATTCTGCAATGATTTTATAAATATACATTTTGTGATAAGTGATTATTCCTAACCATATGATACCCACAATATTGTGCTTTACAGATGTTGAAAAGAATTAATTGCAATATCAGTTATTGACTGTTCATCTTATATAATACATGTACATGTTATGATGCAGATTTTCTCAAATTTGTGAAATAAATGTTTTGTTGCATTCTATAAGTATATTGTTTTCCTTTCAAAGATATATGAGGTTTTAAAATTGAAGTAAGTAATCTCATATCATTAGACAATATTCTGAATAATGCATTATAATGAAAAGTCATTTACATACAGTGACTTGTTGTATGACAAAATATGAAAAGTATGCATGGGTAAGAAAAGATACCTTCAAACAAAGTGAAAGTTTATCCTGACAGTGATGTCCATCAAAGGCTTGGCACCTGTAGAAGTCTCCTCAGCTGTAAATATGACAAAGCTGAACTTGGATTATATGAGGCTAAAAATATGTATGCTCTATATAGCAGTAAACCAATCAAATCAATCAATATGCAATTTTACACATTTAATACTGTATACAGGGAAATTTTTGCCCCCGTTTTATTTTCGCCCTTTTCTCGATTGGGCGAATTTAACATGGGGCGAATCAAAATTACACAGCATAATTTGTTAAACAGAACTATGACTGGGTGAATTTAAAATGGGAAAATTATTTGCAAGTGCAAAAGGGCAAAAATAACACGGGGCAAAAATAACCCTGTATACAGTACTATAAATGTAAATTAAACCCATTCTCACAGTACATAGAGGTAGCATCATTAAGCCCCGTTAAAGGTGCATAGACACAGTGGCAATCTTGTGTATTAAAGAAATATTTTAAAAACTTAAATCCAAAAAAATAATTATTTTCAGAGTAGAAATGTTTGAATGCAAAATCCCTTTTGTCATTCCAGGCTTAGTGTTGTGTACAGAGTTTAGCAAATTGAACATACCTGTGAAATGTATAATACACAGTTTTTGTAAACAGGGCACAAGCTCTGATATTGTTAAGTTTCATGATTCACCAGGTGTGTTCAATTGTTAAAGTCTGCTCAATACAACTGCACGGAGTGGACTGACAATATACTGTATGTTTTGCTTTCGTACATTTATATCACAAATTTTCCGAATTATAGTTTTGTATTTTTCTTCAAAACACAAGATTGCCACTTTTCCTACGTATTAAGAATAAAATCAAAATCTGTGAAAGTGCAAGGATGCATCCATCAAACCCGCCCAAAAATTTGAAGTTTCAATTTTTTTTTAGATGAAATAAGATTTCTAATATATTTTCATGTGAAATGCCATTGCAATATATATAACTTGTGATATTATACAGAAAATTTGAGAAAAATATTAACTTCAAATCTGTGTCTATACACCTTTCATGCATGTGGGTAGCATAATTCTGTCTGTCTGTACACAATAAATTAAACTTTCTTTTAAAAATTTATATATGAATTAAACCAATCATTACATTTAAGCTTTTATGAAAGTCAAAATTTTATAACTGATGAAATAATTGACTTTAGCATTATATTTTCATTGACTGGGAGATTGATTGTGAAATGTGCTGTAAGATAAAGATTCAGTGTCTGTTGTCCTCTATACATCATATAAGCAATTGCAAAAAAAAAAAAAAAACAACAACAACAAACAAACAATTATTTATATTGTATAAATCAATCAATCAAATTTTAAATAAACAAATATTTTTTTTTAGAAGAAATCAGGAAAGAAATTTTAGAATTTTGGTAATATTGAAAATAGCATATTGGATACTTAGGGTAAATATTTAGGCATAAATAGTCTGATAAATAGATCTATAATAATAAATATTTTAAACTGTTTACGATAGTGTTAAAAGCGAAAGTAGACTTGTTCTCCAGTCATAGAGTTAATGAAATTACCATTTTCTAACCGAAATAGAAAGTCAGTATTGCTTTCTTTTAATTTTATCCCTTTTCCTGTGTAGCTCTTTAATCCGACTTGTATGTTAAAATCAGTTCATTAATCAATGTTAGCCCGTGAGACGTTATAGATCTACAGCTGTTATGTGTACGTGTCGTCTATAATGTAGGTCACTGTATTTATGTTGTTTACAGCATAGGGACGGGTGTGAACAATACATCTTTGCATACTCTATCCTAAAAATTGATATACATCTTCAATAAACGTTTGTACAGCAGTATATAACAAAAAACAACATTAAAAAACTTACCTTTCTGAACCATGGTTGATTCTTTAGCCCGCCATTAGGCCGTATAGAGTGCGTCCATAAGCTGTACTGTACTGTATTCGGACTATTCACTCATTTATCACGATAAAACTCGTTGAAATATTGATGAATGTTGTGTTTTTCTCATATCTTTACTAAATACACGTTTATTTCATTTCTTTCTATTTTTAATATTTTTTTAAATTTTTCCTTCTGAAAGAACGACAACTCCTTTCGTAAACTGGATCCCGGCCCCGTAACCTAGACGTTAATGGACGAGTTTACCATGTTAAATCCCCGTAGACTTTGAATTTGCCGCCGTGTGTTTACACTGGTTGACCTCGAGGGTTCGGATAAATGCAGGAAGTTTGGAAAAAAATCAATCTACCAATCGTATATAGGTTGAAGTCCAAGGTATTTATTTATTTTGAGATATTTTGCAAAAAGTAGTGACGTTCCGGTCGTGGGACAGACTATAATATAAATTTATAGGTCCGAATTCACAGAAATAACTAAAGAACTAATTTTATTTTTTTCAAGAAAATCAAACTTTCTCACTTTTTTTTCTATAGGTTTTGTTGTCGATGATGTAAATGTCGTTGTGTGGATGTAGACCTATACAGGATCTCACGATGTCAGGTCTCCGGTATCTCCTGAGCCACGTCACGTGATCTACACTGTCCTGTGATCTTCCTCTGTAATGTACAGCATTTTCTTCTCTTCTTAGTTCCGTTAGAAATTCTTCTCGTTCATCTTTACTCTTCTTGATTTCATTTTTTGGGATATTCACTGTAGGAAAAAATATACCGTTTATAATAAACATTTACACCGTAATACCATTATGTATGTATATATGTGTATATGTAGAGATACATTCAAATTATAGATTTTTTAAACACGATCAGTTACTTCTATTATAATATATTAATCTAGTAGCATTAAATTGTAGTCGATGGAGCTACTAAAAAGCAACTACAGAAAAGAAAGCGATTTCAATGTATAAATGTTTCTACTGATAACTTTTAAACTTTTTTAAAATGCAATCCAATTATTTAAAGAAAATTCTGAAAGAAAATTATAACAATTTACAATTATTTTACTCTGACTTACATATCTGGTGTATCTCATCATAGATATTCGTGTCCTCCATGGTGACGTGAGTCAGTATGTTCATCTGTAGACGGCGTATCAGTAAGTCATTACAGCCAAGACTAGTGACACACTTCTCTCCAGGTTCTCTGTTGTATTCCCATGATCTCAGGTACACACTGGCTGTGTCATAACTACTGTAAAAGAATGGTATATGATTGTTTCTTGATGCTATCTTATACATTGTCTCGTCCTTTGTATCCTTCTTTATCTTGTCCTGATCTTCCCAAAGGTAATCACGTGACTTCAGTCTGTCCAGAATCTGCTGTGCTTCCTCACGTGTTACAGGATTTTGTTTACCGTACACGTCCTCTCGTATCTCATTAAGCAAGTTCAGCCACTCTGTGTCGGTGAAGTCAGGAGGACCGGAGTCAGAACACAGAAAACAGAATAACACAGACACGTCGTCATCAGTCAGTGAGGAGAACTCATCTACAACGTGTAGTGAACATAATTGAGAAACACTGTCATTAAATATGAAGTATATTATAGTTCAAAGGACCTCAATAATTTAGGTGATTTTTTAAATTCATTTTTGGCCATTATTTTTCTTTTCATCTAACTCAATTCAACTTTTTTGACTAGTATGATAGTATTGTTTCAAAAAGTGAAATCGTCCTATATACTGTAAAATAAAATATGATTACCAGATTATTTGAGAAGTGTTTTAACAATCATATACATGTAACGACCAGCACCCATTCTTGATACTGTATAGAACTTGTTCAAGAATATTTTCCCTATTTGTATTCGAATATTTAGAATAACTGAAGGAAGATATGTGGAAAATTCAAATTCAAATATACAAAAAGTAAATAAAGGATACTTTTGTAAAATGAAAAAATTAAGATCGTATATTTGATACCTTCATTAACATGTATATCATCTCATCGCAAGTTTAGTTGCATTGTAAAACAAAAAGAGAACCAAGAAATAATATTGGTATTTTTGCCTTTTCCTTTATTCTCAAAATATTTCTTAAAGTCTTGTACATATTTAGGTTATATTAGGATAAATTCATGTCAAACCCACATGATTTACAGAAATATTATCCGAAATATAATAGGACAGGTCCAATTTATGATTAACATGTAGAGTCTCCTTTTATATGATTACATGTACAGGGAGGTGGGTATATTTGTACTATATTGACTTAATTATAAAAAGAGATTTCAATTATATTAAATATATACTGTATATAGATTTTGAACGAATATTTATTGGAACAAGCTCATTCAGAAAATTTGCGCCCCCCGCTTCTGGAAAAAAGAAGAGCATAACCAGTCCGGAGGTGGAGGGGATACGACTCCCTCCACCTAAATTTGTGGATTTATCATATTTATACATGTATATTGTATCAATTTTTATATTTAAAAAAATGCCAATATTGATATAAAGATTCAATTGCTTAATATCTATCATATATTTAAAAGGATTTTTTTTATATAAAGAATATTTATCACAGTGTAATGATGATTTTATGAGTTTATACAAGCAGACGTCATAATTTCTTTTTTTATTTCACATGGTGATCACTTTCAATAAGAAAATAAAAAAAAACAATGTTAAAAAAGGTAGGATCTTCCGGAATTTTACCCGTTATCTCTCACATGTTATGCGAGCGTCACACTCCTTGACCACATTTCCTGAGCTTGTTATGCAAATTAGATGCAAAGATGGGGTCACATACAAGTAAATATTCACGTTTGATATGGACAAAATTTTTCACAAGACCTACATGCAAGCTTATGAAGCTTTATAAGGACTAAGGTATCATTTCAGACGAACTTAGGACACATCTTAGTCTTAAGTTAGACCATTAAATCTGTCCTGTATCATGGGACCTCTTACTTCATACATGTATTCTTAGTCCCTGTTTTAAGACGATCGCGAGCTTCTCCCAAGACATATCTTAAGTGATTTAAAGAAGCCATGGGGCCAGGAAAACAACCAAGAATTATTTGTTTGCATAAATAAGTAAAATATTTGTATAATGTGCTACTGTTGGGAGCAATAAAGTTGAAAGATGGGAGGGCAGTCGTACATCTTCAGTTGGGGGGCGCTTTCAACTACTAAGACAAATAGAAGAAAAGGGCCCATGGGCCACATGGCTCACATGAGTAACTACATTAATATTATTTTATAAAACTATTCTTAAAGATTTCCTCTTTGTAATACCTTTTTTTTTTTACCTGTCCTACCCCCCCCCCCCCCCGGAATCACAATTTGGAGAATGAAAAATTTACACTACTCCAGGAATCTTCCACATAAGTTTCAGCTTTTCTGGTCCAGTGGTTCTTACATGCACAAAGAAGATTTTTCCATGATACCACCCTATTTTCTTATCTTGATTATCTCCCTTTGTTGAGGAATTAGACCCATCATTTTTACAATTTTAACACCCCCCCCCACTTTAGGATGTTGTGTACCAAGTTTGGTTAAAATTCACCCTGTGGTTCTCGAGAAGATGTTGAAAATGTTTACAACGTTTATTCCCCATTTTAGAAAACGCGAGTTATCGCCCCTCAAAATCGGAACTCTTCAACACCAGCATGACTTCCTCGGATTACGCATTTTGATAATCCAAGAAAATAATGATCAACTTACACGCTGCATTTAAATTCTTAACATAATTCTTAACATTAGCATTTAAAACTTCATTTAAATTAAATTCTAAAAGAAGGAAATGGTTTTCGAAAAAGATTTAGATAATTTGCGATTGTATAAAGGATCTGTTAGCCCCTTTTCTAGAAAGCGATACGAAATAGCAAGGCACGTAGCATCGTCTTTATAAAAGGGGGGGGGGGGGCAGAGAAATAGTTTTTCTTACTTACCTGGAAAATTGACAAGCCAATAAAAAAATGTAAAAACTTTGACTAAAGTCGAAAAAAACTCTTATTTCAACACCAATTTCTTGGCTTAAAATACTACATTTCCCTAATATAACTTTACCGTTGTATAAACTTGGGGGTGTCTTTTAATGAACGTTTTCAATAGTAAACAAGTTTGGCTTTCAAGAAAGCCTTAAATGTCATCTCTTTGGTATCAATAATGTCAAAGAAATAAAACAGAAAGGGAAATATTTTAATGCAATGAATATATGGATTATTACACCTGAAGTTCCCAAATAACTTATTCAGCAAACTCCACAGTAAAGTACTCAGTTTCTTTTGGCCGCAGTATATATATATATATGGAAAGCATGGACGTCTGCGAGAGATTTTGGTGAAATTTCATTCTAGCGGTCTTTGTGCTTCTGGGTGTTTACAATTTACTTAAATTCAAATACTTTCCTTGAACTATATTTTCTTAACACAACATCACGTGTATATAAATTTGTTTTTCTTTGTTTGTGTTGGAGAGGACATTCTAAGTTGGAAAAACTTGTGTCTGATCCAATTGATTATATCAATAAAATACGTTTAAATGCAAAATTCAAATTCTTAACACAATACGGAATTGTCAACAATAATTATCTTTCTTTTAAAAGCAGCTAATCATTAAAGTTTGACAGGAATTAATTTAATAAATCCAATTACAGACTAAAAAAATTACATTAAATTAGCGTTGACCACTCTTCATTCATTTTTTGCAGAATCTAATTGTAAGCTTGTTCTTTTGTGCGAGAACCAGTTTTCCCTTCGCGTCAACAAATCTATATATAGAAATCACGTCATTGTCATCTCTCCTTGTGTGGCTTACCAATTTACTAAGGCATAGTATTGAGGATCAATATATATGCGACACACCGAAACTATAGATATTTATAAGCATCGTACTTCTTTTCTAAATTTTCCTTGGCTTTCAAATAAGCCTAAACCGAAAGTAGATCACACACTCCTAAGCTAGTTCTTCTAAAAGAAAACCAGTTTACAGGCTACTTGGAACTCTGTAAAACATCGAGGACTCCCGAAAGATTAATGGAAGCTTACACTAGGACTTCACTTCCGGCATACAATCTTAATGTGTCATCTCCCGAGGGAGATGACAACAAGAAAGTTTTCAGAAAGCCACTATGAGTGAGCATTTGAAAAAAAAAATACGAATCAGTTAAGATAGTTAAGATTTCATTATATTCACAAACACAATAACACTTACAGTTTGTCAATTTATTTCTTTACGTTTTTACTTCGGTATTCTCCGTAAATCTTCGTATCTTAAGAAACTGGTTTTTCATGCACGAGCGACTTAGCGCTCACTATAAATACTTTTACAAGGGAATGTTCGATTAATGCGACGTTCGTTACAAAGAATCGCAGGTTGTTTTGTGTCTTTGGTTTTCCCTGCCCTCCCAGCCCTTGCATTGTTTATCGTGTAAAATTTATTACATGTAGTTTGATTTGTATGTTTTGAATAAAAATGCGATTTGTAACGAACGCAACAATCCTACAGTATATTCTTTTTCTTGTTTTTCAATAAATTAGTCAAGAAAATATTTATTTGCGGAGGAGTGAAACGACGGAGAAAATAATATGACAGAGGCTTTACACCATGAACATGTTTACATCAAGAACGTCCACGGAAGTGACTTTCTTATAGCGCATGCGTATTTAACACAGTAAAAGAGTTCCCTTCAAGGGAAATTACTCACCTTTTTGAAATGGGGCATAGACGTACGGATGGACATACAGAGAGCAGGTGATCAGAAAAACCCTCTTGAGCTTTCAGCTTATGTCAACTTAAAAGTCTTCAGACATTTTATTAAAGGTGCACATGAATAAAGTTACTGTAGCTTTGTTTTCTATAGTAATCTACATTAGTGGCAAATTATCGGTACCCCCCTTCCCCCCTTCCTCTTTCTATGGTTATGTATGAATTTAAAGATTAAAACATTAAAAAAGATTAAGTGAGTTTAGCTATTTCGAAATTTATAACAATATATATCGGTAATTATCTTTGAAATAAAGTGTTGGGGGGGGGGGGGCTAGGAGGATATAGTGACAGCCTAGTACCTTTAAAATACATAAAATACAGGGCACATGTACTTAACGCAAACATTGATATATATTTTGACTGATTTCGATTTGAAATGACATTAATAATTTATCCCTGAAATATAAAGAAATCGTAGGTTTTCCTTGGTGCTTAGATTTCAGACTATGTTTTACTATCTACTAGTATATAGTTCCATATAAATTTAATTTTAAACCTTATGAGAAAATCGTATAAAATTCTCTAACCATACTTGGTAAACAATATTCATATTATCAATTATAATGTATGAGAAATATTGCTAATTTCAGAAAAAAATATCCTTAATACATGTATATTTCCACTTCTAATTGTTATGCCCCGTAAACGAAGTTTCAGGGGTATATAATTTTTCTCGTGTTCGTCTGTCTGTCTGTCTGTCTGTCTGTCTATCTATCTAGCTGTCTCTCTGTCTGTCTGTCTGTCTAGCTGTTTGTCTGTTTCATTACAAAAAAATTAACCTTGCCCATTACTTTTGATTTAGTAGAGAAACGACTTTCATATTTGAAATTGGTATTCCTTGTGACAAGACCTTTCTTTTGGGTACCACCAAATTTGACCTTTGATCTTGACCTTGGAGTTTGAACCACTTTTACATGGAAATTTGAAACTTTTACTTTGGCCATATCTTTTGAACAGTAGACACCAGGAAATTTATTTTTCACATATGTGATGTTTATTGAAAGACCTTTCATTTGATACCAACAACCTTGACCCTTTGACCATGACCTTGTAGATTTCCTTACTTGTGAAAATCTTTAACTTTGGCTATAATTTTTGAACGGAAATGGATAGAGCTGTCATACTCCATATGTATAATCCTTGTGAGATGACCCTTTATTGGATACCAAGAACTTTCATCTTGATCTTTGCAGGGTATCCCATCGTTTGAAAAATTTACTGTATTGCAGAGTTTACATGAAACACTAAAATTTCGCGGTATTTTGGCTATAAAATTTGCAATTGAATCACTATTCATTTTAATAACAAAAAAAGAAAACAAAAAAAAAACGTGAACACACTTTTATAAAAATCACTCATTCGTTACACAAATTGTAACGAATGACTTTTTGAAATAAACTTTGCTATGATTTTTTGTCAGTTTTCTTGACCGAATTTCAGTATAGTAAAATATTTTTAGAGTCCTTAAAAATTTAAAACAATTTATTTATATCTATTAAATGATTTCGGAACGATGTTATCGTTGACTTAAGCGCCAACATAATTCTAGAGGCATGGCTTTATCATAATGTCTATAGAAAAAATATTATTTAATAATTAAAAATAGATTAAACTATTAATTGTTTTTAATACAATGGATTCCTAATGAAACTACCAATTAACCATTACATGGAAGTTTGAAAACTTAGAGGTCAAGGTCAAGACGGTGGTAAGTCGGGTTTTTTATTATATACCTAATGTGTATCACCCAATTTTACTGTTAAATTTACGCTATCACGTGACATCGTGATCTGATTTTCCGGATCACCAACATGTTGTTTTCTGAATCCATATCACCACTCTCTGAAACTGATGACGTAGTACGCAGAAATATGACGTTATTTTTCTTGCGCGTTAAAAAGTCCCTTGTTATTATGCTTTGTTCTAAGGATAAATATTATACAATTGATTTCTGAAGTTTTCTTTTGCTATATTTTGCTAGTTATGAGGAGGTATATAATAAATTTATCATTATAACAGTAACTTGATCCGAAGAGCCGTATCACGTTTCGTTGACAGGCGCGGATCATCAGATCAAACTCGACGCTTCGCGTCTCGTTAGATCTGATGATCCGCGCCTGTCAACTCGACGTGATACGACCCTTCGGATCAAGTTACTGTTATAATAATATATATAGATCGGTCCCGCAAAAACTGAAATTACTCGTTTTAAAGTTTTTTTTCGATCTGCAAAAAAGATACAATGATTACCATTATCATACACAACATTCTACATTTAGAATGTTAACTTTATACTGGTTATTTGTGATGATTTTAAGAAAGAAACTTTTTCGCTTTGTGTGACGCTGAACAAAACTCACTCGTATGTGTTACTAGAGCCCTATGTGTTCTGAGTGTATGTGTCAAAAATGTCGATGACAGATACTGAAAACCTTGTCACTGAAAGCCATAGTGTGATCAATGGCACCCAAATGTGTGATGGTAGTGAAATCACTTCAAATGGCAGAAATACATTCATTATTGACCCAAATGAATTCTAAATTGACAAATATAGAGTCCAAAAATAACTGTTTAGAAGTTCGACTGACCGAAATTGAAAAGAAAATCTCAGTTATGGGAGAAATCCAAACAGCAGTAACCACAGTATCCTCCCATGTCAAAGTGATGGCAGAAGAAATGAATACAATCAAAAACGATCAAAAAGAGCTTGAATCTAACATGTGTTCTCTGGGTAACTTATTTGATTCAGTAAAAGACGCAGTGGGATCCAACTCGAAACAGATAAATGAAAACCGAAAGGAGTTGGTTGAAATCAGAGAGGGAAAAGGTTAGCTGCAGATCTGTAGCTCTCCGAAAAATTATATATTGATAGACCGGAGAGCTACAGAGCCACCCATTGAAAAATCTGTATATTTATTGCGCACAAAAAAATGCGCTCGGTTCTCCATTTATTTCTCCATGTTTTTAAAGCTGTAATCTCAAAATATTACTAACCGTGTGTTCCTAACATATTCTTTGACTCTTTTCACAACAAAACATTCCTTATAATTGTTGTTAATAGTCCTCATGGCCCTGATATTGCAATCATCGGACATTTCGCTTATTTATACTGCCATTTTGGTTTAAAAGATAATTCGGTCCAATATGCTTCGTTCCGATGTCAACTACGAGAGAACTTGATAGAGGAGAGAGTAATTCTTTGAAATCTTCTATTTTTTGCAATTGAGGTAAGAATTTGGAAAATTAATCAAGAATCTAGCGCACTTTTTTGTGCGAAATAAATATACTGTTTTTTCAATGGGTGGCACTGTAGCTCTCCGGTCTATCAATATATATTTTTTCGGAGAGCTACAGATCTGCAGCTAGGAAAAGGTCAGCAAGATCAGAAGACATTGAATGAGGCAAGTGACAACTTACGGGAGTCGATGATTGATCTCAAAGCTCGCTCCATGAGGGACAACTTGATGTTCAGTGGAATATGGGAAGAGAAAAACGAAGACACCGAAGCAGTGTTACAAGAATTTATTTACCGTAAATTCAAGCCTGGCTACGAAATTTCGTTTGAGAGAGTGCATAGGATGGGGAAGTGGAACGAATTTAACGAATTCCCCCGCAATATAGTTGCTAAGTTCTCTTTCTTTAAAGACCGGGAGTTCATACGGACACGTGCACCACAAAAGTTAAGCGGCACTCGTATCTGGGTCAACGAGCAATACTACAGAGATCGAAGAAAAAAAGAAAGAAGTTATATCCCGTCATCCGACAAGCCAGGAGGGATCACAAAAAAGTCAAACTTGTTCGGGACACTTTATACATAGACGGTAAAGTTTACATTCCACCGCCTGATCAAGCTGATCGATTCGTGACCAATCAGGGAAAGCAAAACAGGTTTCAATAAGCACTGACCGACAGGCTACCAAAAGACCGCTCCAAACGTCAACTCCAGATCGCGACGGCTAGGGGCACAAGGAAGAGCAGTCTCCACGCCGACTAAAATTCCTGACATTAAATGTGTGCGGGTTCAGGCGTAAACTACAGTACCCTGAATTTTTAAATTTTATCTCGGAATATGACATCTTGTGTTTAACTTAAACAAGAACAGATAATACTGACGATATTAATATACTAGGGTATTATACTCACATGAAAAATAGATTTGATGTAGCAAAGGTTAAATCTGGCGGAATAGTTTAAGCCGTCAAAGTAGACTTTGTTAAATTTTTTACTGTACATAATACATGTTGTCCATATGTTTACTGGTTTTCACTTGCCAAAACTTTGTTTAATTTACCAAACGATATTTTATTTGGAGCTGTATATATACCCCCTGAAAACACAAAATATGCATCAAAAGATTGTTTTCTAGAAATAAAGAGAGAATTGTTTAATCTCTCACATGAGACTAATTATACCTGTTTACTTGGTGATTTTAATGCCCGTGTAGGTAAATTACAAGACTGTGTAAATATCGATGAATTTTTAGCCGACCATACTAATTGGGATAAAGAAACAAGACAAGCTATAACACATGGTAGCATTTTATGTGACACAAATATTGAAATTAATCGTGTACCAGTAGATACTACTTGCAATAGCTATGGGTATAAATGCATTGAATTTTGTCAGAATAACAATTTATTTATTGCAAATAGCAGAGCCGGCGAAGATAAACTCACGTGTAGAAGTAGAAGTACAGTGGATTATGTAATATGTAGTGTTTATATGTTTACACTGCTTAAAAATTTTAACATCCACGATTTTTGTAATTTATATTCCGATGTTCATTGTCCAATAACATTTGAACTAGAAAGCCTAAAGGCAGAGACCCACGTGCACTCAACCGATCAACCGTGTAACGAAAACAATAAAAAGCAGTATATATGGAATCCGGAAAAATCTGAACAATTTAAAGAAAATATTGATGTCGAGAAATTGAAAGAATTACATGCAGAAATATTACAACTAAAAGAAAATCTTGATACTGTTCAAAATAACGATATCAATAACATCTCTAGCAAATTAAGTAGCTTAGTTCTATCTTCAGCATAAAATACATTAGATGTTAAAAGCAAACCAAAACTAAATAATAGCCAAAATGTTAATTGACCATGGTACAACGCGTCATGTAGAACTGCAAGAAGAAAACTTCATTTGGCTATCATTTCACAACAAACACAAAACCCCGGAAAACACCGAAAATCTAAAGATCACAAGTAAAGAGTACAAGAAAACAATGGATTAATCTATTAAAGAACATTCTTTATCAATTACCTCAAAAATTAGAAAATCTACAGAAAAGTAATATAAAGAATATTGGAGAATTTTAAATAACTCGAAAGCTAAATGTAAAACTGAAGTCGATATCAAATCAATGTACGATTTTTTTGAAAAAAAAAATAATGAATCTAAAGATGATGAAGTTGATGATGATTATAATGCCAATTTCGATGATAATTCTCCTTTAAATGGTCAGATCTCTGCAGAAGAAATTTTGCAAGCAGTTAACAAACTAAAATATAACAAAGCTCCAGGATATGATCAAATCTGTAACGAATTTATGAGAACAACCATATCAAGTTTTTTGCCACTTTATGTTGATATTTTCAATGTGATTTTTGATACTGGTAATGTACCTGAAGAATGGCTCATTGGTATCGTTAAGCCAATATATAAAAACAAGGGTGATCCAACTCTTCCTGAAAACTATAGACCAATAACATTTCTAAGCTGTTTAGGAAAAGTTTTTACCAGCATTTTATGTGAGCGTTTGAATACTTTTGTTGATGAATTCGAACTGAATACTGAAGCTCAAACTGGCTTTAGAAAAGGATATAGTACAATAGATAATACATTGATGTTAGATTTTTTGTGTAAATTTTTCTTGTTTAGCAAGAAAAAAACATTATTGTGCATTTATTGATTTTAAGCAAGCCTTTGATACATTATGGCGATCTGGTTTGTGGTCCAAAGTGTTAAAAAGTGGGATAGATGGTAAATGTCTAAGATTTATTAAAAATATGTATAGTGGTATAAAATCGATGATGTATATTGACCAAAATACCTCATTATTTTTCATGTGTAATCTTGGAGTTAGGCAGGGGTAAAATTTATCCCCATTTCTTTTTAACTTGTAAATCAATGATCTGGAAAATTATTTACTGCAGAATAATATTGAAGGGATTAAGACCTTAAGTGAAAAAAAAAGAAAATGAAATGCAGATTATGTTTAAATTATTTATACTGTTTTTTCTATGTTTATTTCTATGCTGACGAAACAGTTTTACTATCTGATAACCCAGATGATTTAAAAAGAGCGTTGAATATTTTTTTCTGATTATCGTGACCACTGGAAACTTCAAGTAAATACAGGCAAGACTAAGATAGTAATTTTTTCTAAGGGGAGGATCCCCCCAAAAATATTTTTGTACAGAGAAGCACCAATTGAAATTGTGAACGAATTTAAATACTTAGGTGTTATCATGTCCCGTAGTAATTTTTTCAAAAGTGCCAAAACACACTTAACCAAACAAGCTTCAAAAGCAATGTATGGAGTTCTTAGAAAGATAAGGTATTTTAACTTGCCAGTAGATTGTCAAATAGATCTTTTTGACAGAGTTATAGGCCCGATTTTGTTGTACGGGTGTGAAGTTTGGGGCTACGAAAATATAGATATTTTAGAAAAAGTACACTTGAAACTTTTCAAATTTGTTTTGCATGTTAAGTCCAGTACCCCAAATTGTATGGTGTGTGGGGAAACTGGTCGATATCCTTTAATAATACGTATAAAGGTACGAATGATTATTTATTCGGCTAAATTTTTGATGTCACATGAGAGTAAGCTGGCATATATAATGTTTTGCTTTCTTTATGAACAATTTTCTGAAGGATCATTTATGCACCCATGGTTGAATTGTATAAAGGATATCTTGAATTCCTGTGGTCTGATTTATGTGTTGATGAATAAAAAATCATTAGTGTTACATGGGTAAAATGTATTGTGAAAGAAACATTGTTAAATCAATTTTTACAAGTTTGCCATATGAAGATAGAAAATTCATCTAAATGTTTAAATTACAGGATTTTCAAAAACAATTTTGGACGAGAAATGTAATTAATATGTAAACTCCCAAAAGACTTGAGAATTGTATTAACAAAATTAAGAACTTGTAACCACAAACTCCCAGTCGAATCTGGTAGATGGACTAATACTGACAGAGCTTTAAGATTATGTAATTTATGTAACAAAAATACTTTGGGGGAGGAATTTCACAATATAATGGAATATCCATATTTTTCGTCTTTACGAGAAAAACTTATTGATAAGAAGTATTGTACTCATGTAAATACGTATAAATTTGAGAAAATTATGTCCATCACAAATGTTGACTCACTGATAAAACTCTCTCTGTTTGCTAAAAAGATATTGGCCTGCTTCTAGTAACTATTTTCTTTTATTGACACTACTCTTCCTGACTTGACTTTGTATTTTGTATATATTATAAATATGTTCCTGTACCTCATATACCATTGTATGATCTGAGTGTAAATAACAAAACAAAACAAGTTATTTGTCTTTGTTCCTTCATGCGTTTAGTCCGGCGAGATTCCAGGAGATAATTACAGTAATTACGCAAGCTAGGTGAAACCCTAATTAAGTGTTCTACCTTTTAGAATTAAAATACTGTAGAATTGTTTGAAAAAAGATTTATTTAGAGAGAATTTATAAGTTTGGATTTTCTGATTATCACAAATCTTACTGTGTCGTTTTTTTTTATTTGTCGCAAGCAAAAATTTTTAATAGTGACTGTGGCGGAGAAAATTTTACCGTGTAGGGACCAATCCAGTTAAACAGCTTATGGAGAACCCTGTTTTGAGTTTGGTCTACTTTTGAAGAGCAAACATTGACCTTAACTTTTAAAGGGTTAAGACTAGTGCTTTCACACTTTAGATATTTACTCCTTGTGACAAGTCCTTTCATTTGATAACAAAAACCTTGAACCTTGACCTTGGAGTTTGACATACTTTATAAAAATGTATAACTTTGGTCATAACTTCTGAATGCTCAGGGCTAGGGCTTCCATACTCTTCATAAGTATTCAATCTAGCAAGACCTTTCATTAGATATTAATATCCTTGACCTTTTGGCCTTGACCTTTGAGATAGATTTTTGAGCTTATTGAAAAATCTTAACATTTGCAGCTAGGATAAGACTCCCTGTAAAATATCAAGCTGTTCAAACTGTTTTAATTTCTCTGAACTAATCTAGCTATGACGTCATAATAGAATATGACGCCATGTCACTGCATACTTGAAATAAGATGACGGGGAAAGTGTCATTATAACTTTTAAGATCTAGTGTGCTGTTATGATGTTGAAAATTGAAATCTCTATTCCTTTTGCTTGTCTAATATTGACATATAAAAACATTAGCAAAAAATTATGTGTGAAATACTCCCCTTGCACGTCCGAAGACAGAGGAAAACTTTTAGAATTGTGTTTATATTGGACTGGCATAAGTGATACAGAAGGACAAATTGAAGATATTCTGTGTGAATATATAAGAAAAGTATGTCTTGTAACTGAATTTTGCTGGGGAATTGTGAGTAGTTTATCCCTTTTTATATAAATCGCGATAAAGAGTGGATAATACCCCTTCTTAAATTACATTCTTACATTAAATTAAAATAAGGAGGGGGAGATTAGATACATATTTGGAAGGTGTGTACGTGTATAAAATTTAGCTTTAAAATTAAACTATAACTATACCACATTATCAACAAAATAGCA